GGGGGGGGGGGGCGGTGGCGGCGGCGTGGTTTGGAAGGATTAAGAGATGATCCCCGATAATCAGTTTCTGGCCAAGAGAAAGGTCTCACACGAGACAAATAGGGGCGTGAGGAGGCATTGTTGTCGTTGTGAACTTTCAGAATTTGTAGTTTGGTATATAAAGAGAATTGGCATGTAAATTTTGTTCAGGCCCTTCCCCTCCCCAACAAGAAGCACACACACACATACTCCGGGTCCTAGATCGTGGCTTATGGAAGCGTCGTGTGTTTTCAATCGCACCGAGACTCACGTCTTTTCATTGGTCAGCCTGTTCGCGCGGTCGGTGCTGCCCACACGCAACACCTCACACAACAAAACACACCAAAGTCGTTATGAAACATCCCTCTCATGATTTGTTGTCTCGGAAAAAAGCTGACCTCAGACGCGTCCGTTGCTCTGCATGTCATGCTTCTAAGTCGCAAACACCTGACGGTTTTTTGTACTTCACCCTCTTGTCGCAAGGACGATCCCTCTTCGCGGCGATGGGCCTGCCACTCGACGACGACCTCCCTCCTCTCGTAGCCGGTGGACTACTCTGTGCGGCGTGGGCTTGGGGTAAGGGTCGTGTTCTCCTCTGCCGTATCGTCTCCCTATACATTTCACATTTTTGGGCCTTCGCTGTCTTTGTTCTTTGAGGAGAATCGTTGGGAACGGTTATTCACTCGATCGGCCCCGGAATTGGGCTCGGGTTGAGCCGAATGGATGAAGCAAGACGGTTGGTGCGGAAAAGTAAGATAGCTCCCGCGGTGGTTGTGTAGCGTAGATGAGTTGCCCCCGCCTCGCTACATCTCCGCTGTTGTCATGGGAACGGCCTGAGGAACTCTGCGGCTTAGGGCCGTGCGGGCTAGACGGCGGTATGTATGACGTGGGGGTTGCGTGTTGAATCAACTCCAAAACACGGCGCTGCTGCGATTCCCCTCTCTCATCCTCCCTCACGGTTCATACGTCGACGGCGGCCGAAAAAGAAAATTCTCAAGAATTTCGGTGGCTTCCCAACGTGGGCGACAGGAACAACAGGGCGTATCCTCAAGTTTGTACCCCCCCGTCTCTGTCTCCGTCCTCTCGAGGCCGCGTGGTCAACAGCCTAAAAGCTAAGCTAACGCATGTACCCCACCCGTCCCCCATACGTGCATTGTTTTGTTTTTTTTTTCTGCTCAAGCTCTCTCGGCGCTGTTCCGGCTGCAAGTGGCTGCCGGACAGCATCGCCGCCTTTTGTGCAACGCCCTAATGCTTGCAGGTGCGGGGTCATGGTTGCTGGTGTCTGCCTTGCCAAAGATCGAAGTACCATCAAGCGGTATCGTGCTTTGTGCTTGTTTGTCCATTTGTCGAACCCTTTGGTCTTTTGCCCACAGCCGCAACAACATCCGAACGATATCGTTCTTTTTTTTTTGTCTTGTGTGGTTGGAGATTGTTTTCTCGTAGCCGTTATGTCGACGCTCTTGCCGTCTGCAGCAGTCGCCGTTCCTCCTCGTCCTTTCGTGCAGCGCGTTTTTCAATGCTTGTTCGATGTTATGTTTTAACCGCCCAACTTGTCATGTGGTGCCACCGATCGCTAGCGAGTACTCACGGCCTGCTGTTGGTTGGTACTGTAGGACGTCGACACGCGCGCGGAGGCCCTTCTTCTATGGTCCACTTAAGAAATGTTCAGCATTGTTTTTTCTCGGTGTACGAAAATTTGCTGGCAAGTGCTGCCGAACGTGGCAGTCCTCGCCTCGTCAAACACCGTACGTCCGCACCTGCGACACACATCGCGCCGTGTCCCTAATTCTAAAATAGCGGAAGTCCTGCTACTTTTTGACCATTCACCGAGGTTATGTCCATCGCTTCGTTAACAACCCAGCCGCCGCCGCCGCCGCCGCCGCTACCGCCGCTTTGTTTTCTCGCGTCCGTGGCGCACCGCGGTCGATCTACTCTCTCTCTCTCCCTCACCACCTACCGTACATGCTTTGTTTCCCCTCATGCGTGCATGCATCATCCCCACCATCATGATCATCATGATCACGATCCAGGGAAGTGGTTCGTGATCGGCGCCCTGCTGATGGGCGCCTTGCCCGGGCTGACGGGGCTGTTAGTCCACGACGCCCTTCGGGGGCCTCTGCCCCCCACCGAAGAGACCGCGGCCCTCACGTGGGGCAAGATCTGGGCGCTGGGCCTCGTCTGCGTTAAGCTCTGGGCGAGGTACAGTATATCCATCTTACGAAGTCTTTCGGCTCGCCTCGTCGAAACAAAGTTAAATGGGGAGAGTCACCGAGGCCCACGGCAATCTATGTACAAGTACCTATCTGCTGGCAGATGAATTAGGCCACTCGACGGAGCTATGATCCGCGCCGGGTCTGTCCGTGTTTGTGTTCGTTGCGGTTTTCCTCGGAGTTTTGGTCGTTTTTTTTTTTTTCTGCAGCCTTTTGGAAAGCTCTGCCGCGTCGTTTTAGCTGTGTTGTTATGTGATTGTTATTGGTTAGGAAGATCGAGTTGTGTCTTCATCCCCAGCACGCACGCAACGTTTTCGGAGAACTTTCCCTCGGTCGTGGTGCATGTTACACAGGAATCCGAAATATCCCACCGTTTTTTTTTCCTTTTTTTTTCGTGACGGCGGGGCGGGAGCGCGTCGAGATGCTTTGTTCGTCGGTGCTCGCTTGTGAAGGATTGCAGCAGCAGTTCATTGGCACAGAACAACAATCCACGCCAGAGTTGTAGGCCGCGGCATTGCTGCACACCCTGTCTCCTGCCTCTCTCGGCTGGCAGCTACTTGAGTTCTGTGAATGATGCGGACTGCCGGCGGTGCAGGGTGTCACGGCTCAATTTTTTTTTTCCCCTCGTAAGCTTTGTTGGTCAACATCGAAACGCCTCCCAGGCTGTCCGCAATCGACCCCCATTTTCCCAAAGGAGTTCTTTTTTGTCAACATTGAATCAATCCTCCTCGAGACTATCCGCGAACATCACCCTTTCCCCCATTTTGTGAAAGGTGCGTGCTGGCAGGGGCGGTGAGGCACGAAGCATGGCAAGGGCGTCTTCGGCGCTTGAGGGACAATGGCTTCCGAGGCGTGGACTTCAAGTTCACCATACTGGAGGTGACCCCTTCTTTGACGTTGGTTTTCGTGTAGTTTTCGTGACAAGTTGAGAGATTGGTAGGCGTCTTGGGGGCGGGCTGTCCATATTGAAAATACAGAAGCGGGAAGAAATGACTCGGTTGTGTTTTGTGTTCGGCTGGAGTGATTTACTTTGGACATGGTTTCGTGTCAGGTTTTGATGGCATGTTTCCGATATCAATCAAGTTGGCTCCATTACGCGCCGATTTTATGAAGTTGTGGGACTCCGAATATCAAAGGTGGGATGTTACCTACTCTCACGTGAACCAGCACCCGATACCCGGTCGCCCTGGTGGTCTAGTGGGTAGTGGTCTAGTGGGTAGCTTCGCAGCCTGCTAAGGGCCAGGTCATGGGTTCGAGTCCCGACAGAGAGTTTTTTCTCGCAAATTAAATCCTGGTCGCCGTTGGAAGCGACGCGCTGCAAAGCTCGTTGTTGGTAAACTTCATCGACTTCATAAGTCGCGAGGGAAAGGATTTCTGTACCCTTCTCGCGATAAAAATATCTCAGGCAGGGACCGCAGGAGGGGGTCCAACCCCCCCTCCTGTGTGACCCCGGTTGGGTCGTCTAGCTAGTAGAAGTGGAGGATAGGGGCCCGAGGGGCAGACGACAGAGTCCAATGATGGGAGAAAAAAAAATGCCCTATCCAGCGCCACTTTATGGCCGCACAGGAAGGTTTGATTGCGGTAGGGTGATACTTGGTCTTGATATTCTCGTGCTTGTGTATCTTAGGTCATTCCGGGGGCGGGAAGTATTGCGCGAAAAATTCTAACCCAGGTCTTGAAATCCAAATGGGTTCGACCGCCGCTGGTGGGTGACGGAGAAGGCATTTTCATGCGTGAAAAACGAAGAAATAGTGAACAGAGCGTTGTACTTATATACTTCAGTACAGTGGGGGCCCCGGCTTAGCGACCCCCAAATCTCGCGACACCGCTGCACCCCGGTGTAGCGACCACACGGTCGCTACACCGGTCGAACCTTCAACGGCGACTTATTGTTTTCATCACGCAATAGCGACCATCGGTTCAGTTTTTGCGGAGGCCCCGCGTCCCTCCACACCCAGAGACAAAACACCGCGGGACACGTACAACACACGCAACATGCAGTGCGCCGATGGAAGAGTTGTCCACACAGCCGGATGTTGAAGTGCGGGCACCCCAGGGGCATGTGTGCCATGGTGGCTGCGGTGGACGCCTGCACCGAATGTGTGAGGGGGCGGAGCATCGATCGATGCACCGCACCTGCCACGAGTGTGTATCCAAGAACATGCAGGCTTCCCCACCCGTCTCGAATCCACCCAAACGCAAAGAGAGATTGAGGTAGATGGAGAGGTGGCGATGTCGGGGTGGGGAAGTGATGGCACCGCCGCCCTGCTCGGAGCTTTCGTCGCATTTTGGATCGCCAGAAGAGTTCGCGGAGTCGTGTGGGTTAAGCGAGGCAGCGTACTATGTTCGCAAGGCAAAGGTGTTGTTCATCGAAGCATTCTTCGCGAAATTAGCGCGACTGAAGGACATATGAGAAATTCTTAGTCGAACATGATCGGTACACGGGACAGCAGCAGAATGAAGTCACCAGCAGCGTGAGGTTCTTTGCCGCTTGGGCGTATACGAATTTTCTCCGTGCCAGGGCGTTTGTATTGTCGTATTTTGGCGGACGTGAACATGAGTTTTTCCCCTTTCCCACCCTTATTTTGTTATGATTCGCAGATCGGACTTACTTATACGTGTGTCTTTTGTGTTGGTCTATGTACATGAAGAGACAGATTGTTCAGCATGCGGGAAAGACTTGAGGCACCCTCTGTACATTTGTTGTTGAGACATTTCCTACAAACTTCGGAGGGTACAACAAGCTTGCTGGTTAACTGGAATGCATTCCGTATAGGAACTACTCCCCTATTGTCCACCCTAAGGTGCTTCTTCTTTCCTCTACCTTCATGTGACTGCTGCAATACGACGCACACATGACCCGGCCAAGAATATTTTTGCAGGACCGTCTTTAGTCCCACGAGATGGCGCTTTTTCTCTGTTGAGCGACCGCTAGTCGCTATTGAGGCTCCCGGTTTAGCAACCAATGGGCGCTAAACCGGCTGTAGGGACCAATTCTGAATAGCCACCACATTTCGTCGTGACACTAGGGGTCGCTAAGTCGGGCCCCCCACAAAATGATTTTTTTTTTTCAGTTTCTTGTTCGGCCGCGTCAAGTGTTGACTAGCACGGACAGAAGAAGGTACTGGGTAGAGAGAACGGAACGGTTTTTAATATGAAGTCGAGGAAAACATACGTTTGACGCCTAAGCCGGTCACGCAGGAGGAAGTGAAAGCAAGGAGCAGCCTTTTCTTGTTTCTGCGTGCATGTGGTCTTCTTCCCTTCTTGGACGCCCTCACTTTCAGATTGTTCGGAACTCGCCCTATATCGCAAACCCGCGTTGCTTGTAGGTATTGTTTTTGTGTGTTCGACGAGTGACACAAATGTGTTTCCGACGTCGATCGCAAACATCGCCTCTTTTTTATTTCTGTGGGTTCGACGCGACACAGGTGTGCTTCCCCCTTCTCGACGTCGTCGGGCAGTTCTACTTCTGGCCGCACCTCTTGAACCGCTTCGCTCTCCCACTTCTGGTGGCCAACCAGCGGGACCTCCGTGTCATCCAGAAGGGGATGCCTTTTGTGAGTCAGTCTCCTGAACCCCCTTCGTTTTTTTTGTTCACCCGTCTTGTGTTCTCGCCGCTTTGTGACTCTCTTATCTTGTTGTTTCAACCATATTCGGTTCTTGTGTTGGTCGCTACCATGATATTGTTTGTTTTTTTTTTGTCTTTTTCTCGAGAAGAATCCCGCCGCGTCCATCGGTCTAGTCCCTTGCTTCTTCCAATCACGGAAAAGGGGATCTTTTTTGCACGAGTCCCGTTCTTCCAGCTTTGAAGTATGCAACAGTAAAATCGACTTCTGCCTGGGAACCCCTCGTCCTCGTGTTGCCTATCGATTTTTGCTTGGAAACCGTTGTTTTGCTTTTGAACAGAGCGCCATTTTTCTCTGCGTCAAGTTGGAATGGTCCCTCCTAGGGCAGTTTCGAATGGGGCACCATTTACAAGTGTGGGCGTTAATCGGTTGTTACCCTGCTCCCTTCGCGGGGGTTCGGTTTTCAACCCACTCGCGACGAGGCGCCATTGTTTTCGTCTTCGAGAGAAGGCCGTGCCTTGCACGAGTGTGCTCCCCCAGTAGAGCCCGATTCCTGGTTGACGCCTGTTCTTGTTGGCCAGCGCATCCCCTGCATGCAGGTTGTTGCCAACTGTGAAGGCTCATTTCCACGATGGCGGTTCGCCCCTTGTGCGGACGCCTACAGTACTGTATTACGCTGTGCGACTGCAGAGGCTGCCACATGCCATGTGTAACTTGATTTGGAGGAGCTTTTTCAACGATCCTAAAATGAAATAATCGAATACACGAACACGCGGGCCTTGCCGTGTTTTCGGCTGTTCGCGTGCCGCCGCCCCCTTTATTAGGTGTTCCTCCTGCTGAGGGCTCTTTGGTCGGCGGCGATGTTCGTGGTGAACAAGATGAAGGCTCTCCACGACCTGGTGAGTGTCCTAGACTCGAAACACCGCCCCTTTTCTTGGGTCCACCATCGCCACGAGCTTGAAACAGCGACGACAAGCTCCTTTGTGTTCTAATAGCATCAGCCCTCGAACTTGTGAATTGATGTTGTCGTTTTCGTGTGGGTGCTGTTTGCGGTGCATGCATGCCGTGTTGATGTTGCCATCGGGGGGACTTTGAAGCCCCGCTCGCGGCAGTGAAACGCACACACCAGGACAAGGCCAAAGCGGCGAACATACTATCTGGCTTGGTGTTTGAATTCAGGCGCGGCGGATTGACTTCTTAAAGGCGACTCTCTTGGAACCCTCCCTCTCCGTGCCCCTACGTCAATCCCCTACGCTGGCTCTGATGAAAACGCCCAGATTCGCGACGATGAGTATCTGGTGGGCCTGGAGCTAGAGAATATGCCCCCTCAGGGCCACGCCGACGACGCCAGGCCGTCGTAGTTACGACAAGGCATTACTGTCTCTCTATTTTCGCTTGTCTCACGGTCAAACGCCTTGAGATATGGTGGGATGTAACACCTGCGTAGAAAGAAGACTATTCTGCTGCGGTAGGGGAGGCATGGTGTTCTCTATTGTGAGGCGCTCATGTGTTCCGGCGACAGGAATGCAGAAAATAACGGAGTGTCCGGTCTTGTTACGAACGGGTATATTTCCGCACGCTTCCGGGGAAAGACAAACCTGGCGGTACCCGAGCAGTGGCGTTCATTCTCGGACTCGACTGAAGACCCTTTGCGGGCAACATCTTCCTGGAGTGCTTGGTGTGGAATTGACCAGATGACCGGCGCGAGCGCCCGGTCATAATGTCGGGGCGAGGTGGAGGGCACGCACGACTGCTGTAGAATGGTGATACCCTCATTGTTCAGTTGGGTCCTAGGCTAATCGTCGGCCAGACGACGCGCCTGTCAGTACTCGGTTCCGTTTCGACGTTTTTTTCCGTTTTTTCCCACAGAACGAATACAAGGAAGGGAAAGAGAGAGAGAGAAAGAGAGAGAGGTGCTTATGTAAGCGTTTATCTGATTATGCCGATATCGGCAGCACGGAGGGCAGACGGAACTTCGAGCAGCCTGCTCTCCGAGCTTCGCCGGCAGGCCCACCAACAGGTCTCACGTAGCTTTACAGCATGGCTACATATGTACCGTTATTAAAAAACCTACAACGCATGGCATTTTTGCGCTAACGAATCGCAAGAGTTAAGTCTGAGTGCACGCCATCCCTTTGGCTCAGCCCTCCGTCGTCTCTCCACGAAAGTTGCCTTGCCGGCTTTGTGTCACGCGGTCTTTCAATCTCCCTTTTTTCAATCTCCCGCGGCCAGCGTGATTTTCGTGCAATTTTACGACGCCGATTTCTTTTGCCTTTTGGCTGGAGCGAACCACACCGGCAAACACCCGGTCCATGTCGACTGCGTAAGCCTGCGAGCTAACCTCACGTGCAGACTAACTTCATCCCTGGCGTCCGACTGTAGTTCTTGCGTCCTGACCGCCATTCACTGGTGGTCCACCTTGGTTGGCCGTGATGTCCAACCCGGAGGAGCCATTGGCGCCTCCAACATTGAAGCAATCAGCGGAGAGTCCATCACACCGGTGCCCAGGCCCACACAATCGTGGGGGCTGGAGAATGGAAGATTACGATCGCGTTGTTGGGGAGGATGCAGCTGGCGAAACTCGAACTTCGTTCATGCTCATTCGTTTGACGACGACTCCATGCGCCCAACGACACAGAAACTCTCTTTGTCTGTTGACAACGTCCCCGAAATCAGACGGTATCCTGGAAAAATGACCACAATAAAAGCGTGAATCGGACCTTGAAGACCTAGGGAAGAAGGAGGAACTGGCACGATGTCAGAACGATCTTCAATGTGAAGACCACCACAACGACTCCCTGCGCCATATGCGCAATTTCCTTCAAGCTGTCTTCCATTGCTTCACAAGTGCATACCCTTCGGCTTACCCTAACAACCCGGGCTTAACGGATCAAAGGGCCTCAATTGCATCTATTCAAGAAACGCACGGACCGGGGAGGAACGCCCCTCCCGCAATGCCAACCGTCTCACGCGTAGTGGAAAGAAGCAACGTAGGAGACAACAACCAACCGTGTAATATCCCACGAACAATATTGCTCCCCATCGGTTCAAATGCGCGGATCGAACGAAGAGCCATGCCAGGTTCCTACAGTGAAAAGCCTCGGGTAGGTTCTCACAACGGAACCCTTGCTCTCGGTCCACATACACGTACACATCATTATTGCTGAATCGTGCAGCTACTCCCGCTATCGATACGCAGGAGAAAGACTCCTACAGTGCATGACTCGTTAACCGGGTCCACAACATTCCTCCCAATCAACAAAAATAACTTTTATTGAAGGCAAACACTAATTTCATGGGGAGGCAGGCAGCTAGGGAGAGCAACGGTGGGAGAGAGCTTATACCGTGTGCGTGTTGCGAGAACGGCCCTCTGTCGTCACCTTCGAACAACCATTCACCAGACACCGTCGATTGTTTTCCAAATCTCTTCTCATGAGGATACAAGAGCGTTTCGCCGTGGCTGCGATGACGCCCTCTCGACACGCCTCTTCCAAGCGACATACCATGGAGGGAACGCTAAGGTTTTCTCTCTAGTCTATGTAACCTGGGTCGGCATTTCCGAAACGACCGTAAACCGCGAGCCTCGACATGCTGTGGAACTAGGATAATACAAGATCACCCTTGGTCCGTATCTGCGATCACGATCGATCCCGACTGCTTGTGCCCCCGTTTGCCCTCCTCGACTCCCCCCCACCCTCTCCGCCCCCACCCCTGCGGTGCGATAAGCCCTTCAGATGCACGAGGTGTCTCTTTTCGTGACTCTTGATCTCGGCGATAATTGCGCGTACGCACCCCTGCACCTGAACCGTGAATGAACCGCAACGAGGAGCGACGTGAATTTTTTGCGGGTGGCTGCCCAAAGCGGTGTCAACGTTGTCCTTCTTGTAGAAGGAGTCTACGACAAAACACATACAACCATCTGGCAGTCGGGGCACAATAGCCTCGATTGCTGCGTAAAAAACACACTTCTCGCGTGTTTGAATTAGTTTCAGTTGGGTGATGTATTTACCGTTGCAATATCAAAGGCGTGTCAGGATGGCGACACGACCACAGGTGGCGAAGAGGTTCTCGCAAAGCCCCTAAACAGTCAATGTCTATTGCTACAACCTGGCGGTCTGAATCCCGCGTGGCGCAGCCATCTAAGTTTCCATACGACAAAACTTATTGGCGGTGGCAGACTGTTTACTCTCCGTCACCATCGCGAGAATTGCCGTTAAGCTTCCTGAATGCAGTGAGTGACACATCACGCAGCGATCCCAGCGATCCCCCCCCCCGCGAAAATATCCGATGCTGGTTTGTATCGACAATGACGAATATATCGTGATGGGTCTGTGAACCAAACAAGACACAGACAGACAGGCTCGCGCTGTGCAGTCCTATCGCTGCGTGTTTCGTTACGCTTGGTTTCGTTGCTGCCCAATTTTCAATGAGGTTATTTCTTTCCCACGAACAAACCTTGGTCTCTCGGTCCTTGCCGGCGCCAGTGTACTTACTCAGTCGCCTCGCGTGGTCCGCGCTCTCGGTGCTAAAGGGGAACACCATCTCGAACCCGAACCCGGCTGGAGATTCGGAACTACTGCCGCATCCGTCGCCGCCGCCGCCGCCGCCGCTGGGTTCGGTGTCGACGTGTTGGCTGCTGCCGTCGCTGCCGCCGCCGCCACTGCCGCCGCCATTTTGCACGGCGCTGGGGGTGTATTCGGCGGGTGTTTGTAGCTCCTTTAGCGGTGACGGTGCCGGCGGGGGCGGGCAGGTAACGGGCAGTGATAGTGGCCGCGGGGTCGTTGTTTTCGGTGCTGCAGTTCGTTGTTGCTGCTGGCGCTGGTTCTGGTGCTGGAGATGGTGGCGGTCCAACCAAGGGGGGCGCTGGGAGGCCTTTCAATAGTTCCAGTGGTGCAGCCATTCGGAAAGAGAGAGAGCGATGGAAACATTCCACACAACTGAGGAGCTCGTGGTGCGCGTCATACAAAGGTATATTCTGCCCCTACCGGTTTGGTCGGGGGTGGATATCGGTGCGAACATCTACATCACTCACTTTTGAGATGCAGCTGACTTTCAAGGAAGTCACAGGCATGTTTTCCGAGAGACGTTCTCACTCGTGCACGGGACGGCGCACGTGCAAGCACATCATTGATTGCAGAAACGGCACGAACTCGACAGCGGGTTCTTCCCTCTCTCTCTCTCTCTCTCTCTCTCTCTCNTCTCTCTCTCTCTCTCTCTCTCTCTCTCTCTCTCTCTCTGTCTCACTCTCGGTGGCAGCAGCTGCAGCTCTGCCCCGCGCGGTGGTGGCAAACAGGAAGCGGCGGCAGACGAAGGAGTCGGAGTAGGAGAGACGAGAAGGGGTCGGCTGTAGCTGGGCATGCTCCTGGCCTTGGAGATCCTCGTGGCCCTCGTTGCTTCTTGCGCCAGGCAGGCAGACTCTATGTCGACGAGGTCCAGCAGGTCCGAGATGAGCGGAAGCTTCACCTCTCTTTGGCGATTATCACCGGTGAGAGAAGCGAATATCGCCGGCCGTGCATCCAAGCACAACGGTGGTGAAATACCGACAAGTATTTGGGATTGCCAGTGAAAACGGGGAGTGCGCGCTTCCCTGGGGTCACGAGTCCTTCGCAACACACCCGACGAGAGACTGCTGGTGGTGCTACGTTCGACGACCACCAATACTTCGAAGTAGAAGAGTTCTGTTGAACAAAAGGCATCTGTTTCTCATCCTTCTTTTCTCTTGGTGTTAAGTCCGTGTGTGTTTCCCATAGTTCAGTGACAGTTTGGACCACATACGCATGCGCGTCACCGCCGGGAGCGGCTTGTCGCGGACGAGAAAATTATGTAGGTAGGTGCAGTCAGGCTTTCCTAGCCCAGTCGGAGCGGTTACAAATGAGCCGCCGCCATCCAGGGACTACAAACCCGAGGAAGTGACATCGGGGGTCGCACACGAGCGATGACGTCACGCTTCGAATCTACCGGCGCGACCCGAGCGAGAGACCACGAGCCCCGTCGAACCTCCATCGGATGCAAGCCTGGCTTCTCTACCGAATCAACCCGTCCAGAGGGAGGTCTCTGTCGGATTTTTTCCGATCCATGGCAGAGGAGGAGGGAAAAGGGGCAGGGACCAAGATTGGCACGCGGATTATTGTTTACCTGTCGGCTGGCTCGTCCAGCCCAAGGGCGGGAGAGCAGTTCACCTCTATCAGGTGCGGCCTGCTTGACATCGTGGCCGACGGTCAAAGATGACGGAGGCAGGATGAACGAACGGGGGCGAGGCGGGGGGGCACGTCAATCACTGGGGCGGGCGGACGGGGGGCGTACTCTTATGGTTTGCATGTCTTAGCGGTTAGACCATTGACCACGCGTCCTCGAGGGGACGGAGCATTGTTCCCACAGGACCGATCACCGATGGCCAATCGTTCCTTTCTACTTTGCCAAAGGTGGCTCAAAAATGTCTTCCCTAGTCTGTCTATCCTAACGATATCCCTTCCCGCCTTTTCAACCCACCTCCTATGCCCCAGTACAGCTACCGTCCTTTCCTCTCTATTCCATGCCTCAAGCATCTCCCTGTACGTTCTATCTATTTTTCCCAGCTCAGTCACGTACACTTCCCTCTCTTTCTTGTACAACGGACATTCCGCGACTACATGAACACGGTCTTCGCATTCGAAGCCGCAATCACATTTGAACTCGTCGTCTTCCTCGTCTACCGTCCTATGTCTTCGTCGACGTTCTCGAAGGCCTATGTCCCCGGTCCTGAATTTGACCTTAAGCTTTGTTCCTGCATCCATTGGTCCATGTAGGTAGTCCTTGAACCCTATTCCTTCCTTCAACATTCCGTACACTTCTAGACCCTCCTTATCCTTGGATTCTTTCCTCAGATTCTGTTCTTCTCTCTCGGCACAAGCAACAGATATCTTCTCCTTGAACCCCTGTAGACCCTCCGTTTCCAGCGTTTCATCTTCGTCGATGTCGAACCCCTTCCATACGTCCTCTACAACCTTGACCCATTCCGTGGGTTGTCTACCCCTCTTTTTGTTTGCCCACTTGGCCTCCCATACAATTCTCGGCAACCTCTCCTCTCCCATCCCGCACATGCGATGCTGCCATGTCAGCTTCCTCGCGTCTCTTCCCGACCGTAGGGATTGGATCCCCAATTCTGCCCTCACGGCTGCATTACTTGTGCGCTTGGAGCATCCTAGGATGATTTTCGCTGCTTTCATCTGCGCCGCCTCGAGTTCTTTCACTACCTCTTATGTCCTTCCCATACTTCTCCGGCGTACTCTAGCGGCGGTACGATTACGCTCTTCAAAACCGTCAATTTGACGGGGGGGTTATCATTTGAGGTTAATTGTGAGGCCTTGTCGTTGATATTCGGGAACGTCTGCAGCCCGCACACCGCCGCGGCGCACGAGTCCTCAACAAAGGTTGCCTTATTTTGTCAGAAATTCCGGTGGTTATGCCCACCAAAACTTGTACCCCTTGTCCGTGCTGTCTGTTTTGTGGGTTCCGAAATGTGCCCCACGACTGTCCACTGTTTCTGACATTAACAGCGGGAACAGAAACAACAGCAACAGCTTACCTGGAGAGCCTGGAGTCCACCATGACGTCGAATCCGAAAAGCTCGAAGCAGCTGTCGTGCCCTACTCCGCCAGGAACCACGTCTGCCAGGGGAAGCACGGTCAGGCACACCAGGGACCGGATCTTGGCCCACAGTCGGTCCCACCGCTCCACTCCGTGAGCAGAAGACTCCTCCACCCTGATACACCGACCGGCAGCAGATGCAAGGCCCACTCAGTCAGGCGGAAAAGGCACCGGCAAAACGTTAAAGGGGCTATCCCGTAGACTGAGGCAAAAAGCATAATCATTCCGGCGTAGAGGCAAGGGGCGGCAGTGCAGAGGCATGGAACCGCGACATTGACAGCGAGGATAAAACCTAAAGCAAAGCATTCGGATGTTTGGGTTGGGGCAAGCGATGCGACCAGGCTCTGGGGCAAGCAACGGGGAGAGCCGGGAGCCTGACAGCAGTCATGTTTTCCATTGGCGGCGACGGCGGGTGGGCACATGAACGAAAAGGCTCTTCGGCGTGACTCGATGGGTCTCCTGAGCACTACGACCAACCTTACCAGCGCCGGAGCCGTCGGAGGGTCCACTTGCAACCCCCACCGATGACGTCCTTCTCTTGAGAGGCGAAGGGCGACCGCTTGTTGATGGAGCAGTTGGTCAGATGCCCGAAAAGGTCGTGGTGCGGGCTCCCGACGTACCTTGTCGGTCAACACCACGCAGCAGGAGCAGCAGCAGCAGTAGCAGCAGCATGCATTGTGGTTGAGAGGGAGTCGGTATCGCGAGAAGACCCCCAGACATCGCACACACTTTTGCCTGCCCATCTGCCTTTGCACACCTCCGACACAATATTTCTGCCTCGCTCTTGTCGATGAAGAAGCGATAGCCGAAGATTCTCCGCGACACCCACGTCCGAGTCTCTCGTGCTTTGCTAGCCATCTTGTCGGCCGAAAGACGTGCTACGGACGGGAAATACTGCGGTGTTGTTTTTTTCCCGTTTGCGCTCAGTTTGTCGCACTCACTTCGAGGTGGCAAAGCGAACGATGCCGTCCCTGTACACCGACACACTCATGGGGTGGAGCGAGGTCACCACCACGTACCTGGCAAACACGGGCCAAGAGAAGTAGAGTGGTGATGTGTGTGCGCGTGTAAGGGGAAACGAAAGCGGAAGGGAGGTACTGCCAATGTGGCCGATGTGAAAATGCTCCGTCCCTATGGTACGGACGAGTCTGGCTCGAGTGAGGAGTGGTGTGTTGGCTGGCTCCACAAGCTTCCTACACTCAATCCGAAATTATTCGAAATTCGGCCATGGCAAACATTTGTGGACTAGCAATGTTCGGGAAATGGGCTTATCAGACACGATAACGAAATCGGTGAAAAAAAAATCGATCCTACAAGACGAGCCAACGCAGATGTCGGCATTCACCGTCTTGAAGCACGCACGGTATGTCAATTATCCTGGTGTGTGAACTGTTACAACGGGTCTTTAGCACTATGTAGCAGAGGAGATATCTGCTGGCTCCGAGAAAAAACTCACAGTCGCAAGTCCGCCTTGTACCCGCCGACGGTGAGCGGGTCAGAAATGTACCTGTCGAACACCAGTTCACCGTTCATTGGGTTTCGGTGGTACAAGCGTCAGAAGAGTGCACCTGCTGTCATACCATTACATCAGTTCATCATACATGTCGTGCGGTGGTGTGAGTGTCCGAAGGCGGAACCAATGGTCAAGGCAAGGGTCAGTTTAGTTCAGTATCCAATTTTGTTCGTGGCGAAAGTCAGGAAATACTGGGAAAATATGTCCATCTGTCCCTCTGTTCTTGCGTTCTTCGGAACACAAGCTCCTCCCCCAGTACCGACCCGGACCGGAGATAACTGTAAAATCGCCTCAGTTCTTATTTCGTCCCGACTCTGTCGAGCTCCGGCCGATATATACTAAGGATCCACCGCTGAGGTGTGTTTCTTCACCCATTGTTCACATTTTCGTAAACATGTGAGCCCTTGTGCATCGAAATGCTTCTTTTCTGCGGACCCTTCCTGGATGTCAAGGACTCAGGCTACTCCCGTTGCCGACCACAGAAGCAAAATCGAGCGCTAAGACGAACTCATCAATACTTGAATATCTCGCCGGAAGCCCCGGTTCGACAACGAAGAACAACGCTTGAGGCGAGACGTTCTTCAACAAGTGCCACCCTTACGCCGAGTCTGTTGCCCTCCTCCGATGACCGAGATACCCTCCCTCGAAACATCAAAAACCCGCCCAATGCTGCAACATCGTTTCGGAGAGACCACGCTGCAATGGTTTTCGAGAGACATTCGTGGACATGTCCCGACAATAGAGGTATTCGTGGTTTTGTACTGCCTCCCCCTTTTTGCCGGCTTCCCCGTTTGCCATGGGGGTTGGGTTGTCGTCGCTTAGCAACGACGTTGTAAGACAAGCCGATCACTTCGTGAGCTCGGCAACCAGGTTACTCCTTTTTTTCTACATTTTTTTGGCGGTAACCATAGAAGTGGTCGAGTAGAGTATGCTGTGCGGGGTCGAGAACCCTCACCCCGCGCAAGGGGGATGATCGCACCACATTGTGCAAAATGTTCAAGCACCCTCGAGGCTCCATACGTCGGCAGGGACGAAACGGTAGCCGGCGGTTACACATGCTCATAACTGGCTCAGGAAGTGAAAGCACCAGAAAATAAACTAAGTCATTCGTAGCTGTCATCTGTATGCAAGGAAGTAAGCACAAGATGCCGAACACCCTTAGCGCAGGATGCAGATCACCCTTCATGCGACTAGCCGAATGCCTCACGGCGATTCGTGCTTGGTGATGTGAGAGCCTGGTCCCGTGAGAACCCGGCGTGCTCCGTCNCATTGTGCAAAATGTTCAAGCACCCTCGAGGCTCCATACGTCGGCAGGGACGAAACGGTAGCCGGCGGTTACACATGCTCATAACTGGCTCAGGAAGTGAAAGCACCAGAAAATAAACTAAGTCATTCGTAGCTGTCATCTGTATGCAAGGAAGTAAGCACAAGATGCCGAACACCCTTAGCGCAGGATGCAGATCACCCTTCATGCGACTAGCCGAATGCCTCACGGCGATTCGTGCTTGGTGATGTGAGAGCCTGGTCCCGTGAGAACCCGGCGTGCTCCGTCCCGGCTTTTTAGGGATGCGAGGTCAATGGTCTAACGACTACGGCATGCACGACTATGAATATACCCCCCCCTCGTGTGCCAGCCCCAGAAACTAGTAGGAGGGGCTACTGAAGTTGTCCACCTTTGAACGATGGACAGGCGGTCGTAAGCTAGTTCCCCTAGCTCCCTCAGCAGGTACACCCCGCGCCCACGGGAGGAGTCGCTAGGCTTGACGATCCACAGCGCTCCTTCGTCCCCAGCGTCAGTTTTGCCTTTCATGCCGGTAGAATGTTTAGACGACGCAGAGTTGGGAATACGCGTCACCGTTGGTCTGACCGAACACAAAAAGGCACACAACGCGAAGGGCTTTCGCTTGTTTGTAATCCACTTCACGGCGGCATCTCCTGTCGAATGTCAATAGATACATGTGGAGCGAAGAAGAACATGTTCACACCGGTTCGCTCCAAGCTACCCATGTTATTCCTTTCCCGTTCTCGTTTTTCAGGGTGGGGCAGCAGGGGTCGTAGTTACTACTGTAGCTGGTATTCTTCTGTCTCTCAGGGAAGGAAACAAATTGGCTTCAGTCGCGACGAGAACAGAGGAATGCAGTTTTACGGTACCGTGCCGGCAGTTCTTTCCCGTGGAACTCTCCGCCGTAGCTTCACTGGGGGAGGCGGCAGAAAATGCCCCGCTCCTGTCCACGGCTTTGGCTCCTCTCCTAGACCCCTGGCGATAAGGCGGCAAACATGACAACACCGCGCCGGTTCCAGTAGCGAGGGCGAGCGTGGGAACGGGGGGGCGTACGCTCATCGATATATAGGTCTACTCCGTTTTCCTTTGACTTTTCATCTCGCATCCTCAGAAAGCTGGGGCACTATACCGTGCGCGTCCGTGTCGATGTTGACGCCTCTGTGTAAGCAATACCATCCTGATCGAGATGCACGTGGAACGATATGTTGACGGAATCACATCCGCAGGAATGTGCGCTCTTTGGTGGCAACGCCCCCCCCTGCTTGCACGACTTCTATGCCTGAAGACGGGCCGTAAAGGTTGCAATAAATATGGAAAATATTTTGTGCCGTGTCGTTGCTAATTGCCACGCTAACTTCGAACCAATTCGCAGTCGCAATTTGTTGTATCACCGGTTTGAGCCGGGTGAAGGTTTCGATGAACTTCGTGTACTCCGTCGGCAGCAGGTAGCTGTCCGGGTGGAAGGCGTACACCTCCCCGTGGACTGCTTTCATCTTGCGGAGAACCCGCAGCAACAAATCCTTTCTGCGCGCACATAAAACACCATGGACAAGGGAACAACGCGAAGGAAGCACAGCAACACAGTTCGTCGCCAGCCAAATTGTTTCAGTATGAAGCGATCAAGACGGGTTCGTGGTGCCTGAAGAGTCGACGGCATGCGTCAAACTGGAGTTCAATATCCTTGCCATCGAGCCTACCGCGGGCAATACAGTTCTGTGTTTCATTAGCGTGCATACATTGTACACTACTTCTCCTACTCTTCCTCCGGCAATGCTGGGCAACAGTCGCAAACACTCGCAGAATTCGACAACAACACTGGAAGCTTCGTTGCAAAAACAATTCGACTAGCCTTGTGATGAGTGCAGAACGGGGGAAGTGGTTAAGTCGCTGCTCTTCCCTGACGTCCCGGTACTCGGAAGGCTTGAAGCGTCCCGACCTCCACTGGAAGTTCCACTGAAGCGCCCGAAGACAAAGAGGGGCGTCGTGAGGCACCACCTCCGCCGTTGTCGTCGTTGCCTTTCAGTAGATGGTGATAGATGTGATGCTTTCTTCGGGCGGTGGGTTTTGTCAATGACATTGTCACTACTGTAGTGACTAGTTTTGCTGTTCGTGTTTGTTCAAATAACCGAGGTCGACTCTTTTTGCTGCCACCATCTTACGATAACCCACATTGGCATCTTTGTGAGGCTGCCAGAGTGAGATATGTCGGTAAGGGGTTGGTGGTTGAAATCGACTGGAGAACCATCATGGCGACCTAACGCGAACGGCTCGTTATGGTTCAGCGTAACGCTTAACATACCTCGTCGACGCCATGCACCTCAGAGTTCCACTCCGTCCACCCACGCCTCCTCCCGAGTACAAACCTCACGGCGGGAGGGGTCTGCTCGGGCACGACGAACACGATCTTCGCTTGTTTCGCGCCGTCTGTTTCAGGTGCCGCCGGCGTCGCCATCGCTGGCGTTCCCTCTTCCGTAGAGACAGTGCTTGCCGCAGTAGAATGAGTAGCGGGTGTTGCATGCTCATTCTTCCGTGTTGTCGCACCGGTAGTCGTCACGACGGTCGCTGTCATCGTCTCCGCCGCCGTAACAGGTGTTTTCGTACCAGCCTTGGTATTGGAGTTGTCTGTCATCGCCACGGTATTTGTCGGGCATAGCGGCTTCTGTTGCTTTGTCCTGACGCCAGCCACCACAAACAATGTTATTGGTTATGTTCTCTCGAGCATACTACTGATGCGTCGTCGTTGTGGCAGTGCTTGGGACTGCTGATTGTAGACTACATGTACCTTACCTACTTTATGTGGAGTTAGGCCGCAAGTAAGTTCGTCTGAAATAACAAACGTGTCAACCCTCGTAGGGATGACGGAAACTGCAAGATCGATCACAGTCTACATGCTATATGCATTGCAATAGCTTTCTGCATGCCTGATACAGCAGTCTATGCGTACCTACGTGTAACCGTGTTGTAGGAGGGATCTCCGTTTCGTCGGGCAGGGAAAAGCAAACGGGTACTGTAGCAGTAGGACTGAGCGATTGAAGGACAAAGATCCGCAGCAGGCGGTCATTGTATTATGACCAAAGCACGCTCGACTGCAGAAACAACTTCCGCCTACTTTAAGCTGCAGTATATGCATATCTTCGAGTAACTACTGCTGTGCGATACCATCTATGCTGCTGCGCTGCTGCCCTACATGTAGGTGCAATGATGTCTCGTGTTCATGGTCAAGCGTAGGTTGGGACTTCGATATGCTTGGACGCCGGCTACATATATGACACAACCAGTCGCCCCGGTGGTCTAGTGGGTGTCCTCGCGGCCTGCTAAGGGCTAGGTCATGGGTTCGAGTCCTGACAGAGTGAGTTTTGTCTTACTAAATAAATCCTGGTTGGAAGCGATGCGCTGCAAAGCGCGTTGTTAGTAAACTTGATCGACTTCATTAGTCGCGAGGGAAGGGGTCGCTGTACCCCTTTCGCGATAAAAAATATCTCAGGCAGGAACCGCAGGAGGGGGTCCAACCCCCCCCTCCTGTGTGACCACGGATGGGTCGGCTAAATAGCTAGTAGTCTCGAAGTGGAGGATAGGGGCCAGAGGAGCAGACGACAGAATCCAATGATGGGAGAAAAAAAAAAAAATGACACCGGCGTACGGTGCACGGCACCTCTTTGCATGCACGTGGCACTTCTCTGGCGTCCCCGCCCTCGCCTGGTACAAGTGCATCCTACTTCTATCTCTGAACGATTCAAA